GGGGGGGGGGGGGGGAGCGAACTTTGTGTCTTAGTCGAAAATGGTGATCGTTTCTCTTCCTACTCAGATAGAAACTATTTTGCATTGGCACCATGGCAACAGAGACGTTTTTGCGCGCTATTAATACCCTCCAGGTGCCTCTATTGCAAGCTGAGAGGAGAGTCCTATTTCTAACAAAGGAGACTGAACTCCTACGCCGGAACGCGCCTCTCACAATGTAGTTCGTCGCCGGATAGAGGTGCTTGAGCCGGAGCGGAAACGTTTCCACCTCGCGCCTCTTCCAAGGGAAGGTCTCATCTGCAGTGGTCTCCCCTCCCCCAGTGTTGGGCCGCCGGAGCGAGGAGGCCGACGCCGCGCCTAGCGCATCCCTGTAAAATGACGTATTGTATTAGGTACGAAAAATACGGTCGTGAACGGTGCAGTGTTTGGATCTACCCCGAGAGACGAGGCGTGTATATTGTTTCCACCTGAGGTTAATCGTGCCACCTGCCTCGATAGTCAACCACGGGTACACTGTAGGCTCGCAAAAGGCTGTCATGAACGAGTCGTCTGTGACATTGGTGCTTCGAAACAAAGAAGCGCGTGATTGCTGCGCGCTCTGTCCTTTCTCTGTGCGACAACTCAGAAGGAACTCGACATTACGTAGGGAAAACAGGCAATGTTTATGCTCTCCCTCTTCTCTGGGGTCTACAAGTATGTGTGGCAAAATGCGCGGCGTCAGAACAGCAGCATACCGTCAATACAGCATGATGAAGTCTACCTGCCCCCCCCCGTCGAGAACGCCTGGTGCGATGTGGTGCATGCCTCTTCCGCTGTGCCCGGCCTGATCTTTGCGCCCTGCCAGCCCGCCCGTCCTCTCTTCTTCTTGCCCTTGCGCGGCGGTCTTACCCTCTCGGCGACGTGCCTGCTGTGGGCGGGACACACAGGCCGTGACCGCATCGGCCGCCATTCCACCTTTTGGTGTTCATGGTATGCGATGGAGAGAGGTTGTGATGTAGAGGCACGTAGAGCATGATTGGACTGGGTGGGCCGGCTCATACTAGGCGTATGCACAGATGACCCTCAGCGAAAAAAACTCAGACATGAAACCCTTAAACATGCCCCGAAAACCAGCAAATGTGCAACGAAAGAATAAGCGACGGCACCCGCGCACCAGATAACCCACGAAGACCTCTTCGTCGTAGCTCCTCAGCGGCTCGCTCCAGGTCAGGTCCAGGGTATTGTGCGTGATACCTCGGCACGAGACCGAGACGATCCTCTGCGGCGGGTCCGTCAGCATCCCCGAACGCTCCGCCACCTGCGTTCCAGTACCAACAATATATTGTTGATGTCTATCGCTGGCATTCTGCTGTTTTTTTTGTTACATCGCCCCCGCCACGCATATCAATCCCACCCACCCCCGCCTCTCCGTGAGAGGGTTGTTCGTTCCTGTTTGTTTCTTCGGGCTGTTGACTTGTGTGCCGCATTTACCTCCGGGTCACTGCTCGCCGCCATCGCCTGATATGCTGTGAGACCTTTCTTGTCCCGGATAATCTTGCTTGCACCGACTTCTAGCAGCCAGGTGCACGCGTCCCAGCGTTTGGCCAAGGCGGCTAGGAAGAGGGGGCTCCTGTCTTCCGCACCGCCGCGAGCGTCCACCTACGGTTGGCCGTCGGGCAAAGAAGAGTATGGCGGCGAATCAGAAGCAACGCACCTCTCATTGCTGATGATGCTGTTCTTGCACAATCTGTCGTAAGGCCTGTTCTCACNACATCACCAAGCGCGAAGCGCCGTGAGATATTCGGCGAGTCGCATGAAGGGTGCGCTGCATCCTGCTTAGGGTGTTCGGCATCTTGTGCTTACTTCCTTGCGTACGGATGGCAGCTGCGTATGACTTAGTTTATTATCTGGTGATTTCAATTCCAGAGACAGTCGTAAGCACTGTTGTGTAACTGCCTCGAGGATGCTTGACCATTTTAACACANTGTTTTACAACGTCGTTGCCAATCGACGAAAACCCAATCCCGATGGCAAACACCGAGGGGGCGGCTTGTTTTACAACGTCGTTGCCAAGCGACGAAAACCTAACCCCGATGGCAAATACCGAGGGGGGGGGCATGTTTCTACAGCGAGGTCCACGCCCGCACAAATGCCGCGAAGATTCCGCCCAACGACCTCTCATCAAGCAGATCGTTTGTCCCTCTCGCAAAGTCCAACTCAAATTTTGATCAATAATCTTTGGGCAACTTCTGCGTCATTTTCCTAGGCGGGGAATAGCTACTCCCCGCAGCAAAAGACCACCGAAATATCTTAACCGCAATTGTTATTAATGAGATCTTATCAACAGACCCGCTTCAGAACCCTATATCATTCATAACCTTAGCCCCCATGGCAACCAACAGGCGAGCGCTGTCCAAGTGCCCGAACTCCACCGCCGCATGCAAGGCTTGGTACTTGAGGGTCGTGTGAGAGTGGTCGATGGGCAGCCCTGCGAGTGTCGAGTCAAAGATAGAAGCGGTCGATTGCTGATCGGGAAAATCGGGGTATGGCCCGTAATGCTGAAGGTGACCGTGGCGGTGGCCGTGCTTGGCAGCAATGGTCGTCGACAAACAAGGAGTTCAGGGAAGGGAATTCAGGGTCTACCCGGTGTACAATTTAGGAAGGGGATGCCCGGGTATATCCTCTTTGGCGACTCCCACGCGCGTGATTGTGCATTTTTCGCGGAAACGCTTGTGCAAAAATAACCCTGTCGAGCGAGCGTCTGGTCTGCTGGTCGTTGGCACGGCAACCCTGGGGTCTACTTCGAGAGCGCGAGATCGCCAGGATCACGTGCGAACGAAGCAGGCCTTTTATCAAAGTGCTGGTAATGTTAACGATGACTCTGTGTGCCCCAACGACTCTCGTCGACGCAATCGTTGTGAACGAACTGACTCGAGATTCGTTTCTATCAACAAAGATACTTGGCAACATACCCACACAACTTGCACACATTTCTTCCGGCCTTCCTTCCGCCAAGCAAAATATGACAAAGCACCAACCTATCTAAGGTGGTTGATGAACCTTTTGACTCAAGAATGCTTGCCTTTACGGAAGGGTAGAAAGAAAAGACAGATGGCATTGGCGAAAGAGAAAAATCAAGAAACGTTGGCGGTGTAGGGACATTGTACTGCTGTACCTTCCTCGAAGTAGAGGAGAAGGACGCCGACGTGCCCCCTGGCGGCGCAGGTGACAAAAAGGTCCCCCGCCTCTGGTGCAGGCAGTAGCCGGATCGCATCCAACACCATCTGAGATGACCGCTGCAGCTGCTGCTGCTTCCCTTCCCGCCGGGGGGTGAGCTCCTCTTCGATGCAGTCCAGAATTTCCACTGCCGCCCACTCTGGCTCCATATGATGTCTGCATGCGCACAATATGCTCCGTATGAAATCTTAACTTTTGGAGTGAATAGGCGAACCAGTTCCTTGTCGTCAGGTATGTACAGGTAGACCAGGATACGGCTAATGTTAGCAGAAATCAATGGTTCTAGCTTTCGCAGACATTTCAGTGTATAAGGAAATCGTAGCGGATGTCCAAGGCTTACAAAGCGAGTAAGGGGTACGATCAAATACGAAAAGAACTGGTGATGGGTTTGCCGCCCTACGCTGTGTTGTTCCAATAGTGTGGCCAGCCAGTGGGCGACCATTTCAAAAAAAGATAAGCAAGTACTTCGAAGTATATTATTAGAGTAAAAGTTGGTCTCTTCGCTTTGATTGATGCCCATGTTAAGCAAATGCGCCATCACTGGTTGAACAACACCAGAAACGGGATCTCAATCATCTCACTGTTAAAAAAACTAGTGGCAGGTGGACTCACCTCGTCACACGATAAATGGCCGACAGTAGATCTTCGCGCCTGACATCAGCCTTGGATGGCGGTCGATGCTGATGGTGCTGGTCGGCGGTGCCTCCAGTGACACGAACACTGGTCACAATGGCGCCGTCATTGTTTCCTTGCTCGAAGAATGTTAGGTCGTTGTCCTGGGTCGCGCCGCCAAGCCATACGGGCCCGGCTGTTTCCCGTTGGTCGCCCACCCAGGAGTTAAGGGCATTTTGGAAAATGAGGGAAGGGAAGTTGTTGGTGTTGTAGATGACTGTAGTTTGTTTGTGTGATGGCTGTTCTGCTGCTAACCTTGCAAAACTTGAGTCTGCCCTGTTTTGAGGTAGTCGGTCTTGAGTCATTTGGTCACGTTGGCAGGAGTCGTTCCTTCTCGCAATCTTCGACAACGTCGGTATCATTTATAAGGGAAACACATAATTTCCCTGTTTAGGGTGTCTGTCGAAATGGGAGCAAAGCCATGAAAACGAGAGATGAAAAATGTTGTTCCGTTGATTCTGAACCACCTTTCCAAAATCGCTTCCCGATAATATTTCCTCCGGAAAATGGATTGTATTGACTTAACCAATGCTTTGCATGCCTCGTTGTCACAAGAACATGTGAAAGTAAAGTAATACCTTTATCGAAAAGCGGGTCTCCGAGGAGTGAATCCGGCCCGTCGTGATGCGCGCTTTTTCTGTTGCTGTTACCGGTGTTGGCTTTCAGACAGCGAAGGGCCTCGTGTACGGTCGCTTGCGCCCTTTCTCTTGCCCGGTTGCTGCGCCCAGCAGTTGCGCTCCCGCAGGAACGAAGCAGTGAAGTTGCGAGGGGCGCCGCGCAGAGTCGGCGCTCTTCCTCCTGCTCTCGCAACGCCTCTAGCATAGCTGCCAGGGCCGAGTCTTGAGGCCTTTGCCGTGGTGGCAGCAGTTCTTGTCGATTGTTTGTTTCTTTTGATTGTCCCCGAAGGGTAGAATCCTCCATTTTGGTTAGACTATGTATCCCTTCTGTCAAACCTGTACGTTGCAGCAGTGCATGGAGAATAACGAGGCGACGAAGAACATAACACATGGTGCATATTCGGGGAATCAGCGATCGGACCCCTGAACTGAAAGTACAGTCTACAGGTACTATTTTCAGTGCGAATTCCTATCTTCTTCAGGTCAGAGTCCGTGATGGATCTGCAATGAGAGCTCATGGCGCTATATGATGACCAACCTGGTGGTTCCACGGTTGCCCGAGCTTTTTGGTTTGCGAGGGAGAGCGACGAATGCAGAAAGAGAGAGAGCGAGAGAAAGAGAGAGAGAGAGAGAGAGAGAAAGAGAGAGAGTGAGAGAAACAGAGAAAGACAGAGAGACAGACCGAGACAGACAGACAGACAGACAGAGGGAAACGGAGGAAGCAGGTATTTTACTCCCTTATGTCCACACAATATGCCTACATTAAGAATTAACAGTAAAGCCATTCAATGTGGATGTCTGATGACTAGATAGTTGCATGGCGCATGCCGGCCGCAAGTTACACGCATCAAATCAGGTGTGCCGTACGTGAGGGAATCAACGCGACAAATCCAATCTGTTGGGAACTCGACCCCACCACTTCTCCTTCCCCTTCCTTCCCCTAATCCTAAACAAACAGAATATGTAGTTAGACACATAATATCTAGTACTTCAGGCGTTCAGCACTGCAGCAAATACTCCCTACCGTTGCGATATTTTCAATCTGCAAGGAGAGCTTTTTCATCCCGGTTGAACTTGTGCAGGTACGCCCCAACAGCAGCAACATAGCAGAGTGAGCTCTCACGGAGTTCCCGCAAAAAAAGTTGATCTACCCCGTTGCCTGGCATCCCTAGATGCAATAACGGTTGGTATCCCCCAGAACAAGCTTTGGTTACACGTGAAGCCGTGAGCCGTGTAGCCGTGAAATGTGAAGCCGGGAAGCGTGAAGCCGTGGAAAGCTACATACAAGTGGGATGTGCGGCCTAACCTCACCAGAGGCGGCGAGATAGGTTACGGTTGGGATTCTGGACAGTAACGGTTACCGTAAATAGTACCGACGGAGTTCTCTTTTCATGCACAAGAAGCAAATACTACTGCTGTCCCAAGTGTGGGCACACGCCCTTCTCCGGCCACGACACGCGGATACTCCATTAACTTCTCCCTCCATTATCGGTATTTTGTCGTAGTGGTGACGTGGATGCATCGAAGCTTCGACTGAATCGTCGGCTGATGAACACATTTCGACACACCACCACTTGTACACTCCTACACCTGAATTAGCGAGCAGCCGTCGGCGGAGGTGATCCACTTTGATCAAGCTGTAGTATCATCGTATGGGAGGAAGCTGCTTCCTAGGGAAGACCTTATGAGAAAGCGCTTGAAGCCAGAACGCTGATTGTCGGGCTACAGTCCCCCCACGGTCGCCAGCACGATCATGTCCAGCTCCCTGCCGCAGCAGCGGGTGCACGGAATCTTGCAGAGGATGCAGGTGTGTGTGCCGCAATATTAAAACGCTTTCAAGGGCAGATGTAAAATAGTCTACTGATTGTTCTCCTCCAGCCAATCAAGTAAATCATTCCCTTTTCTGCACGTACTAGTCTGAAGCTAGACTACTCCCACCGTCATCGTTCCGTGCCATCGGCTGCCTATATACGTACGTACATCTCAGACAGACTTAGGGAACGTCGAATGCCTGAAGACTTGCTGCGGGGCTCTTGCGATACTTGCCAAGGACGAGTCCAACAAACTTCTCATTGCAAGGGACGGTACTCGGCTAATCCTCACCGTCATGGAGGGCCACGCCACTCGCCCCGATCTCCAGGTATGACACATGACACTCAAAGTACTCGAATTTTAATCGTTCGCCATGGTGGGAAAGGAAGCACCTGCTTCTCCTGGTTACCACCGTGTCTTGAAATAGACTAATCCTTCAGAAACCACACACTTCAGGTGACATATATGAATTAGGGAGTTGTAACGCTCCCGCTTACACCGTTATCGAATTTCTCCACCCAAACTATCGCACACAAAATGGGATACACATGATTGTGTACCATCAAGCAAATGAGATCTATCCGTTGAAGAGAATACCCTTGCTCCGTTATGAGCACCTTGAAGTGGTGAATAACCGTTCACCAACGGAGGTAATTTCGCTCTTATTGCAATGTGGCAAGGAATGGCCAAGCGTGGCTGACGTTTGTCAGCCTTGCTAGGGTGAAAGGCGAGAGAGTGAGCTCTAGGGCTCGCTTCCACCCTCCGGATGGTCACAGCAGACGGAGGGTCTTTTCGTTGTAAAGATCTTCAGACCTCGGGAAAGTCGTTCCTAGGGTCACGGATCTATACGGTTGTATTTGCGTCCCTACTACTGGGACAATACCTATATCCTGGTTTCCACATTGCCCCCCTTTTTGTTCGCCGAAAATCCATCTTTATGAAAATATGGTTTTTGGCGCTCATTCTCAAGATTCAAAACAGGACGGTTGATTCAGAGATCTTTGGGCAACAAGGCGTTTAAAACCTCAGTTTCATGTACAAATACCTTAATTCTATGTAAGTATGCCTCGTCAGTTGAACACATTGCACGCCCATTTCGACGCCTACCCTGTCGTCGATTGCGGCCAAACAACAGGAGGCGGTCTGTGATCTGTTATGGAGCCTCGCCTTCAACAACGGCCTTGTGAAGGAGGTTGTGGGGAGACAAGGAGGCATCCCCCTCATCTTGAAGGGCATGTCGTCCCACCTCTCCAGCCCCGAGCTGATCAAGAGTGCTTGCGGTGCCCTGAGCAACATGTGCCAGAACACGTACAACCAGAACCTTATCGCTGCGCACGGAGGCGTCAGGTATGATCGAGTCGTGAGGCTAGGGGTCAACGACTGGACGTAATTCTAGTTCACAGTCAGCGATGTCGTTGATGTTGGCACATGTTCGAACGCTACTGCAGCTCACGGAATCAAGTCCGAGTTGTTTTACCGACTACGTCTACCGATGAATAACGAACACCATTACAAAGTTCTTTACACGTGCCGCATAGAGAACAGTGCGGTTTGCATCTGCTCAACCGCATACTGCTCGTTTTGCTACGGAACACGAAGCCAAGAATTCTCTTCTGTAATATGGCTCACCTCCCCGCCACCCGCTCTCCCCGCGACCACGCACTATTTGTCCAACTGCGCTCTTCTCGCAGAACGATCTTAAGCGCCCTGCAATCGCACCGGATGAACGCAGCGCTCCTGCCCTTTGTGTTCGACGCTCTAGCGAGCCTCATCGTGGGAAATCAGGTGTAGCGGAAGGAATACCTCGACCACTGTAGTGCCTACAGTAAAACTACAAGAAAAATTGAAACGACGTTATGGATGTGTTCCGAATGCAGTGCACTCTAAATTTTCACAGCACCGCCGACGTTTGCAGCATTCAGGCTGGACAACCAGACGTATTCAAAATAGACACCGCCACATTCAAAATAGACACCGCCAAAAGGTGTATCAACAAAATAATGTTTTCGCTTGTCTCCACCAACTTCTTGGTACTGCCACACTACATGCGAATAGCGGAACGGTCTGCTGGTCACTGACGGCGGGGGCATCCGAGCGGTTTTAACTACCATGGCGCTGCACAGTGGCCGGAGGGAGGTGGTAAAGAGCGGCTGCCACACTCTCGCCATCCTCAGCGACATACAGGGGCAGGGAGCGCGCATCGCCGGAGCCGATGGCGTGAAGGTATCGTCGGCCATTGACCAAGTCAGAAGCGCATCTTGTTTTGCGGGCGAGTAAAGGGTGCATGCATCAAATATGGTACTACCTTCTTCTTGTAGCAGTGTTCATCCCCAACAAGCTATCCTAATCCTTCCCCACTGTCTCGTTTTTTTCTCTCTCTCCTTCCAACCCGTCGAGCACAGGTCCTTCTACCGGCGCTGCGAGCGCACGTTCGGTTCCTCCACCTGCACCGCATCGCGGCAATCGTGCTCCTCCGGATGCTGCAGGAGGCCGCGGTGGCGCGAGACATTGCCTCCTACGGGGGCGTGGTCATCATGCTCGGGATGCTGAGGGAGCACGCCGCGGAGGAAGAGACCGTGGCGGCCACCGTTCACATACTGTACCTCATCACCCACGCCGATGTCATGCGGGGCGAGGTCGAAGTCGAGGTGAGGGTATTTCCGGTTGGTCGATTGGTCGGGGCCCTGGAAAGGGCACTCCTGGAGAAGGGGGAGGAAATGCCGAACAGGGCGGGAGCGGGGACGGGCGTGGGACTAAAGTTGAAAGAGGGGAGGGGCATAGTTCACGGGGTGGAAAGTGACACGGGTGGCGTCACGTCAACCGGGTCCTACTACTAGTAATATCAGGATCACGTTTCAGATTGTGGTGTCAATAGTCAACGTAGGTTTTTCTAAGCACACAAACATACAGGATCAAGTATAGGTCTGCGTGCTCCCTGCCTGACGTTTTTTCGTTATAAACTCGTTTACGGCGTATAGTCTTCACACAGCCGAAAATGCTGCAAAGAAAGATATGAGTACACTGGGAACCTGCGCCCAAGCAACACGCTTGTTGTCATGTGTCAATAGGGGACAGTGACGGCGACAGAGGGACAGAAAACAACACACAGGCAACACAGCTTTAACTTGAACTCCACCATGAAGAGCGGACCGGATGTTGCACCAAGAACATTCTTCCATCAAGACAGTAAGTACCGCGCTCTTCCTCTCTCTGCGTCCGTTGGTACTTGCAAACGATGTGAATGTGTCCTCAGTTGCTACGCCACGAATGCACATGCAACGTGTTTCTTCTGGGCTGTGTCAACGCCAACCGCATTGCGTAGGTAGGGCGTCACTTCAGCGGGATTCCGCCGCCCTCTTTCGTGCACGGAGAACGAAGCAACCTACGAGGGGTCGGCGTCGTGCCCGCGTCTTCACGCGGCGGTGGGGGAGGGCTCAACTTTTTGTCGGGAGTCGGCACCAGGAGCAGTTCGACGAACGGGGGACAGGGCGGTGGTGTTGGAGCTGGTGTTGGAGGGGGTGTGGACGGCACGAACATGACCGACAGGGAGTTGTTCAGCACGGGCTGCGTGAGTCATCGTTGTTGTTGACTCTTCGTGTTGTTTGCATTGCTTCACGACAGATGCTGCTGTTGTCATGCTCTCGATCTCTCTCTCTCTCTCCAGCTACGGCCATCCTGGTGCCGGTGGGAGTTGAGTTCATCGTTTGAAGAGGAAAGTCCGTTTCACTCAACAGCTAAGTCCAGGGAGAAGTCAGGGGGGGGGGATACGGCCCAATTCACCACACACCCCGGAAGAGTGCATGTGTAGGTCATCGCGCAGGTTTTGAACAGACATGCACAGCCTGCCTTCTTTCGGCATGCGTATGCCTTTTTTGTCACATAAGCATTCGTTTCATATCCGGCACCCCGGCCATCGTTTGCCACCCTGTATCGCCCGTCCGAACGATAGCACTAGAGCCTCGACACAATGATCACGCCTGCAACGCCGTGTTATGTCATGTCATGTCATGTCATGTCGCGTCTTGTTCGGGCCAGGTCCGAGCACTGGTGCTGGTGTTGCAAGCACACATGGAGCGGAAGGATATAGTGCGTGCGGCCATGCGGTCGGCGGCCAACCTCATCCGAATGCCCTCGGTGGTGAGAGGTGGTTCAGAGTAGACGAAGACAAAGTAGAGACACGCATCTCAGGTTATGTTCCAAATACAACATGTGGCATTCATACCATGTGTATCGGCGTTGCGCGTCAGCGTTTTTCCAGTGGGATAAATGAAAGTGAAATATACACACGCGCACGCCCGTGTTTCAGGCTTACGAGCCCCGGAATGTCCCGCTCACGGTTTCTTCGTTCTGACCGTATATGCATCATCACAACAACTGCTTGTCAACGAGGCTGGTCTATTAAGATTCGTCGAGGGTTGGTTGCTCCTCACAAAACAGCCCATCGTCCTATTTAGCCGTGTCGCGGGTCTCAAGCCTATGTTTTCACTCAACGCCGTAAACGAAAGCACTGTCTCCGCTGTACCCCCTCCCATCATCGCTTCTTCGTACGCTGGCTGTCGAAATACAAGGTTCTAGCATTGGTGGTGGAGGAGAGTGCGCTGCCTACCGTGCTCCAGTGCTTGGCGCTGCACACGACGAGCAGGGGGATCACAGACTCGGCAGTAGCGGTCGCCGGAGCCCTTCTCGCGGCGGCTCACGAGGGGGGGTGGGCGTCGACGATAGATCTCCCGAAAGGTCGCATGGTGCGAAAAAATCCATCGTTGAGGCGTTGGCTAGGAAGAGGGGGCGCCCCTTGCGCCTTTGTTGGCAGTTTCCGTGATCGCTGGCAGCATCTTCATCACCGTACCTGCACGTCGCGGTTACAACTTCTACTGTCTTGGTATTGGTTGTCGAAGCCGGTTCGATCGGTCGACGGAAACGGTAACTATGCTAGGACATATCTCGGTTGTGCAATAGTTGTATAATACCAGCCCATCAATTGCTTCGTTGTCCCCGTCCTCTCCGCTCACTTCGAACCTCCAAGGGTTGGGGAAACGAAGCTATCGCCACAAGCGCAAGCACCGAGGGGGAGGCAGGAAGAGGAGGTCCCTCGAAGCTGTTCGTTCTCGCAACGGCATCAAACGGCAACAACAAGGGTAACGACAATAACACCGGCTCCCCGAACGACCGCGGGCAGCAGCAGCTCCAGCGACTCTTTCCTCGACAGCAACAGCATCAGCATCAACAGTCGGCGCTGAACGCTGCCGGCAGAGCAAGAAGCTGCGGGGTGACCCCATCGCCCATCGTCAGCAGTAGCATCGGCAACAACAACAGCAGAAGCCTGAGCCTGCGATTCGCGTACGCCCCGGTTCAGGACAACCGGAGCAACGGTATAACACAAGGCGGCACCAAGTCTGTCGCGACGGGAGCACCTGTCACGACAACGTCAGCGGTGGCGACGGCAGCGGCGGGGGGCGATACTTCGGGGCCGGGGACAGGAAAGAGAGGAAGCGGCCTTTCTAAAGGCCCGGGCGGGGCAGGGGGTTCTGCAGCAATGGCAGCGTCAGCTACCCCGGCAGCTATAGAGTCTGCTCGTGGTGGTAGCAGAGGTCAAGCCGGCACCGGCGACTCGGGAGGCTGGAACGCGAGCATGCAGGCTCTGTGCGCCATGCTACGAGCGCGGCGACGAGACCCTAACTTGGCGGGGCTCGTTTTCATGGCTCTAAAGGCGTGCATCGTGGAGTGGGCGCACGCTTGCGATGCCATAGCCGGGGCTTCCAGCGAACAGCAAAGGAAACAAAGGGAGCAGCAGCAGCAGCAGCAGAATCAGCAGCGGGAGCAACAAAATTCGTTCGGTGCCATGGTTGCTCGGGGTCGGGGTTGGCGCGGTGGCAGCACCAGCGTCCCGGGGGGTGGCAAGGAGACGGCAGCAGCACCAGGGGCTGCACCAGCCTTAAAGCCACAGTCCTCCTCCTCGCCTAGAGGAGAACAGCTATCTGAAACCACAACCATCGTCACAGCGGCGGCGGCGGCGGCGGCGGCGGCAGGAAACAATGCTGTCCCCGATCGTTCCAGCCACAAAGGGGCCGCGGCAAGCGCGGCGATCACGTCGATAGCCGCAAAAGGGATCCGCAGGGACGGCAAGGATACAGCAGAGCTCTCGGTGACACCGAGAGGGAGGATGCACCTGGGGATTCGTGAGGTGCTAAAGGCGGGTCTAGTGTGGGCCGAAGCTGTGCCGCTGTTCAGGGCACCTGAGGCAGGGATGAACAGCAACCGGCGTTTGGCTAGCGGAGAACAGGCTGCGGCGGCGGCGGCGGCGGCGGCGACGGGGGATGTATCATTTAGCCCCGCCATGGCGCAGGCGGTGGAGCGACTCTGCAGGTGTTGTTGGACTCCTCGTGGATAACAGCCAATTACGGTCTTGGAAATACCCCCAGATGTCCTGCATCTGCTTGGATAGGAACGAATGAAGTCACACGTTTTAAGCCAAGCAAGAGGCACACAGACACACGCGCCGGCGTACGTCCCTTGACAAAAGTAGATAGAAAGGACTTCAATAAGAGTGACGAAGTACAAAGAGGGAAGGCCAGAGACCGAGGGGGGACAACGTCAATAGCCTCGATACATGAGTATGGAAGATGAAAGTCGAAACGACAAAAACCTCCCACTATCTCTACTCGCGTGAAAACAACAGAACAGCATTGCTGGTCTCGCACCACAGCAGCCGCCCGCCCGGGGTCTGCGCTACATCAAACGGATAAACTCTTACCGACAGTTTCAAACTTCAAGGTTTGTTTGCAGACAAGAACCTCGCCCGAGTGAGATGCGCGCATGTGATCGATGGATTCTCTCCTTACCCGACCAGTCCAACGTCTGACTCGATTCGCCTCACCTCGCCGCAAGTACAATGGGTGTATTCAGGGGGCAGATTCTCAGTTTCCCAGCGATGTGTCCAGGCGATTCACCTCTATTGCTTCCGGCACTTTCTCGTTCCTACCGGGCCCCTCGCGAAGATGCACAAGTTTCGATTGATTCGACATGCACAAACACAAATCAGACCGTTCACTACAGGTTGTTGGACACGGGCTTCGCCGAGATGGGGTTCGGCAGGTTCGAAGGCGCGGTGCCGCTAGGGGAGGCCATCTCTCTCGTAGCATTCGACGTTTGTGTTCCGGAGGTCTTGAAGAACTTGCGAGCCGCCCAGCAACCGAGCGATAGTCGAGAGGTGTGTGCGGTGTCAAAAAGTCGTGAAAAAAGTTGCATTTCGCTTTCTAGTACGGCAGTCAGCACGAAAGCATCACTGCACGCTAGATTCGAAGCGCCTACTCCGAACCAAACAAACTCAACTAGCACCCCACCAAAACCAATTGCGGTGGACACCCCCGGCCATGCACCAACGTAGGGCGTCGAACAACTCATGCTTACGTTCCTTCCGGACGACCCGCCGGAGCCCGACGAAGTCGATCAAGACTCCGCCCTTCCCGCCGCACTACCAGCCGCCACGTCTTCCTCAGCGGCGGCCAAGTCTGACGGCAGCGAGCAAGCATCTGATGATCGGTCGACAGCGGCTGGCGCGGTGGTAGACGGGGACGGGCACGACGGCAGCGGCGGCAAAAACACCGGAGGTGGTGGCGACAGCGGTCGATCGGGGTCCCCCGCGAACAGCCGTGGCAGGGGCGGCAGCGCGTTCGTGGACAACGCAGCGGCCGGTGGTGTGGGGCTGATGCTCTCAAGTCCAACCAATCTCGAGCCCTTTCTCCTACCATCCGCCTCATCTCTTCTCACGGCGAATTCGTCTTTGTCAGCGGCAGCGGTGACCGCCACACCGTCAGCCGGGGTTGGCGAGGGGGTAGGCGCGACGCTGCCACATCGACCAGGCGGCGGGGGAGCGTTGACGTCAGCGGCAGGAGCCCCAAACCCGTCTGTCGGTGCCTCAGCGGGGCTACTATCCTTCAGGTATCCTGTGGGGGCAAGTGGGGGTGGAGGAGCGATGGGGAGTGACGAGAGACTGTGGCTGGTGTACGACGGCGATTCCGCTGCGGGCAAAGGCGTGGTCAGCAAGGTCAACGCTCCTGATCCGTACTGGTTAGGACGCGCGCCTCCCGGAGCGGTTTGTCCTCACCGACACAGTATGGAGTTTTTCTCTTCGTTCGAGAGCGCCAATCTTCTTCGTGCAGTGCAGGTATGGGGTTGGCAGGTTAGTTGTGTAGCTCTAGGATGGGAAACCGCTAGGGTGTACCTAGAGCCTATTGCCCAGCAGAAATTTGCTTAGAGGCGAGTTGTGGTTTGTATGGTTCGAGCGGACTTACTGCTGCATACATAGCACACTAGATATGGCTGTGTCGGACTACAGTATTGTTTACAAGTTCAGGCGATGCTCTTTCACTTCGCAGAGAGGACCTGCGGAGTATGATCTCTTCCTCCGGCCGGACCTCCACACCCACGGGCACACCCAGTGGTTCTACTTTGCCGTGCGCGGCACACACCCTCCCGGTACGTGCTGCATAAAGCCAGACCGACGAGGGCTGATTCGTGTGCCTCGAAGTAGTAAAGAAGGAAGTGTGCAACGTGTGAGTTGTGTTGTCGGGAGTCGCGACACAGCTTTTGTTTTGGGGCATTCGGAGCCCATGTAAGTATTAAGCGATTTGGAACTGCTGTCGAACGCTGCGGCAATGAGGTTGATATCAACGATCTAGTGCGTGATTTTTCGGATGTATCATGATGGCGAGCAATCAACTCGATTTCACTGCTACAGGGAGAGGTGGTGAGCAATTAGTCCGGGCGATCAACGTATCCTGTAGGTGCGTGGTGCTGACTTATATCACTTTCAGAATCCTTGATGACGGTGAACTGATGGATTAATTCGCGTTGTTGCCGCTGCCCGATCGACGGCAGGAGTGGTCGGCGACTCGGTCATCAAGTTCAACGTTGTCAACCTCACCAAGCCTGATAGTCTGTTCGCTATGGGCATGAGGCCGGTAATGTACTCCCACAAGGACGCCGAGGAGAAAGGGCTTGGGTGGCGGCGTTGCGGCCACGGAATCGACTACCGCAGGTACATGATTTGTCCGCGAAGGTCAAAAGAACCTATCTATGCCGTGCACATAGACCTCTTTGAAAGGAAGACAGGAGATGGACCGTTCCCTGTGATCGCATAACACTGCTGTATGGAATATTCAATCCTGCGCACGTCGTGTTTTCCATTATGTACCGGTGTCCCTCCGATTGAAGCGGATCTATGCGCCTGGCCGTGTCCCTTACGCGTGTGAACTCTGCCCCGTTTCCGTCCCGTAACGCTCTAGCAACGGGTATTCCTGGTACAAGCCGGATGGATCGCACGCCAGCTTCTACACGCTTTCGCTGTCGGTGACCTTCCCCAACTCCGGGGATACTTACCGCCTGGCTCACGCGCATCCCTACTCGTACTCTGATCACAAGCGACATCTCGCCGGACTCCTTGAGAACGAGGGCACGTCGAGGTATGTTTTTGAGGGGGGGGACTCGGCTTCAAGGGTGGAGAAACATAGGGCAAATGTAATACCGGAGAAGAAAATATGCGCACGTAGGTGGGACGATATCGTCCTCCTGTACGCAGTGGTTCAGCTCCACCTGCGATCCCGTTTCTTTCTCGCCATTCTCATCCCCGTAGACTCCCCTCCTCACGCTAAAGGCCGTCTTTCCTCACCTTTTCCTCTCCAGATATCTCAATCACACAGTCCTGTGCAAAACACTGGGCGGCAACGACTGCGACCTTCTTACGGTTACAGACCCCCACGACACACCGATAACCGCCACGGGAATAGTAAGTAGCAGAAGCAGCAGCTATGGCAGCAGTTCCCCAACCTCTGACCAGCAACAACAACACCAAGGGCAGCAGCAGCACGAAAGACATCACGGGGCAGGAGTAGAGCCCCCAGGGGTGACCACCTCAAGCAACAATAGCAACACAAAAACCAACCTCGAGAGCTCAGAAACAACTACAGAAGCGATAGCCGCAGCAGCACCGGTAGCCGGCGGGGCGGCACAAGCAGGGGCGATGAACGGCAGCGGCGGCATCGGTGGCGAGGACGTCGGTAGCGGCTCTCTTGGAGTAGGAGCAGGATTAGGTGGCCGGTACGGTCTGGGCGGTATGGTGGGCCGGCGCGGGATGAACAAGCGTTGCGTGGTGATCAGTGCGCGGGTGCACCCAGGAGAGACTCCGGCGAGCTGGATGATGCGAGGAATGCTGGACTTTCTCACGGGTGACAGTGCCGAGGCTAGGCTTCTTCGATCCCTGTTCGTGTTCAAGATCGTGCCGATGCTCAACCCGGATGGAGTCGCGTTTGGCAACAACCGTTGTAGGTGAGGCTGAGGTGGCGGAATATTTCATTCGGACATGCCTACCCCCATCGTTTCGATCTGATGGGAGGGGGGCGGGTTGGGTCGTCAAGAATATTGCCAATTCTTGCGCTTGCGTGAAAAAACGATACACAGAGTTGAACGTTGCCCGCTCTGGCGAGCGATTTCGTGTGTTTTCTTGCACCTCTAGAGCGACTCCCTGATCCCGTGCTCGTGAATCCGCCCATCCTTCGTCTGGGGCCCAAGACATGCCCTTTTCTACGGTACCCCATGTAACGCATGTCGGCGGCAACAAAATGGGGGCATGACACGCCGTCATGGAGTGTCCTTTTATACTACCGGTCTCTATCGTGCTTCTGTCCCTCTGGCTCTCTGCTTCGCTCTGTTCTCCCCCCACCCCCCACCTACCCGTATTGCGTGTACTGCCTGACTCTGCTACTCGCTCGGCCATGCTCTCCAAACTACCGCAATCGAAAGCTTGGCGGGAGTGGACTTGAATCGTCAGTGGAAGAGGCCGTCTCGTGCTTTACACCCGACGGTGTTTTGGCTGAAGCAACATATCCGGCAGGAGCAGATGAAGAAGGGGGTTGCGATGTACATCGACCTACATGGGCACAGGTGAGTAAGCGACACTAAGCTACACTCTCTCTTTTCGTTATTGCGGGGTTTCCGGCTCTACGCGGTATCGAAAACTGACAGGTAGATGTTGCCGCTGTAGCCCCGCCTCGTTAGCAACATGTTGGACAAAGGGCGCGTGGTCACCACGAGAGCTGAGGATGGAGAGGGGTAGACAACCAAGTTGTGAAAGATGAACTCGAATGAAAGGTGGACTATCAGACTCAATAGATCCCCACGCGACAGAATACGAAACCATATACTCATGCTGACAAAAACCGTGTGTTTTTCGTGAGCGTGTTATCGACGATCGTTCCGAAATTCCCGTCGTGTATCCACCCCGCCCGCCTTACGCCGAAACTACCAACGACAGCCGAAAGATGAATATTTTCATGTACGGTGCCGACGAGAAGCGTAGGGGCGTCTCCTGCCCCTCAGCGCGCGTATTTCCCAAGCTGCTCAGCTGGAACCGCTTGGGACGGAAGTACGTCTCCTTCAAGGAGTGCTCTTTCGCCGTGAAGAAGGGGAGGGAGGCCACGGCAAGGGTAGTGGTGGTGAGTAGCACTGGCAGCGCAAAAACCAAAAATGACGATGGGGATATCGGGGTACAAAGGATTAGCCTTGCGTTCTACGTTGACGGCGTTTTCGTACCAACTATTTTGGCAATAGGCAGCAATCGGGATGACTACTACCGTTTTGTGGACGAAGCTTACAGGTTTTGACATGGGACATAACCCGACAGGTACATGCGATAAAACTTGTTTAGGGAATCAATTATTTCCCGTTTTTCTTTGTCGCAGGCACGAGACCTTGGCATTGGCAACAGTTACACCGTGGAGAGTACCTTCTGCGGGGTGGATTTCGGTCCCTTGAAGGATCACCATCTCAACACTGATCACCTGCAGGTAACAGTGATGACAACGAAACATTTCCATCAAAGAGTGTGAACCACGTTTGGCAAGAACAAACAGCACTACCGTGAACTCTTGGCAACATTTATACTCCCTTCTTAGTGCCATCAAAGTTGCCCCCGTGTTCTCACCACGCCCCCCCTCACCCGTCGCACTCAAATCGCGCCAATCCACGGCGCAGGAAGCGGGTGTGGCGATTTGCGACGCACTTCTCGACTACTACCTCCCAAATCAGGCCCAGCGGGAGCGGGCACACAGCGATCTCATGGCGAGAGACGGCATCGAGGGGTCACGGCTAGGCTTGCTCAACATGCCTCCGCCGAACGGAACAATTTTTGCTGCTGCCGTCTCCGGTGGGGGAGGTTCCGACGTTGAACCTTCCGCGGACGGAGAGAGTAACGGCGGGAGGGGCGCGGGCAGGAGTAACGTTGGCGGCTGTGGCGCAGCCGGCGAGGAGGGGGGGGCACAGGAAACGGAGGGACTAGACGTCGACGATGATGTAAGCTTTCTTTTTATAACTTCGATTTCTCCGGCGGATTCAGTACTCAAGACGTACTCGCTAATAACACTCGCCCAAAGCAATCTGCCCTGAAGGCTATGCCGGCATGCATCTGGCTTCTTGCTCTGTTGTACCAACACAACAAGGCTCGTCGTCATACGGTAGCTTGATCTTGTGAACTCGTCCTCTTGCTCTCATTTGAAGTGTTGGCATTGAACCATTGCTGCCAGTTAGAGTCGTGGGATTGAACCAGACGTCAGGGTGATAGGGATAGACGTCCGCAAGAGAAACTCCGTCTTAATGGTCAAAGCATGGAAATTTCACACGCTAAACTCGCGACTCACCGATAAGTTGTACTATCTGGCACCGACAAGAAAGAAAACCGGTGACTTTGACTCCCCATCCCGCTGGACTCGGTGTAGTATTTGTTTCACAAAGCTATCCGGTTACTAGCTCTCAGTGGGAGGGTTCTATTGCGGAGCATCCTATCGTTTTTACAGCCAGCTTGTTGAAGGGGCGATCGACCCCTTTTGGAACGATAGACCGCTTGTATGTTGACCTTCAAAGATCTGCTCTCGTAACCCTCCTACCCCTCCCCCCCCGCGCGCCCATGATCCAACCACTAAGGCATGCAAAACAAAAGTATGCCCCCCCCCCCTCCGCCCCATCCCCTTATCGCAAACAGGTCGTCGATAACAACGACGACATCGAATCAGAAGATGACAATGACTCCGCAGACGCTGCCGCGGGAGCGGAAGCGGAATCGGAGGCCTCTCCTGAAGAGACCGACCCGGACACCCCATCGGACGCAGACCCGCCGCTCACCACCACGCCATCCCCGCAGAGCACCCTGCCACCAGCAGGCGTCGTTGCTCAGGCACGAAGAGCCCCTTCCTCCTCTCCGCGCATCGGGGCCAGCGGGCAGGATCCACCGAGACGAGCGGGCGGAGAAGACAGTGCATTTGACCCTGATGCCCCTCTGGTCTTAGCGAGACGCGGTGGTGGTGGTGGTGGTGGTGGTGGCAGTGGGAGCAGCGAGGTTGTCGCAGAACACTTCTACGGTGACGCTGCGGCGCGCAATCGAGCACAACACGAGCAAGGCGAGCACGTTAACGGCGGTGGGGGAGGCGGGGACGGGGAAGGAGCGGGGGTTGGAGAGAGCAACACGACCAACCCTTGGGCCGGGATAGAGTGGGGTCAAGGAGAAGGGGAGAGCGGCGACACGGTGCGGAGATGGGGGAGAGTGGTACAAGAGGTAGACGGTTACGGCTTGAGCGAAATAGGGGCAAACGGCGACTTAGAGATACCACCGACTACGGAGGACGCAGGGTTGGGGGGAAGCGAGAAAGAAGAAGGGCGCCGGTCATCGACGATTCTCGGCAAGGCCGGAAGTCGAACCGAAGCAACGGGCGAAGAGGGTGGTCAGGCAGCAATAGCTACAGTGGCGGTGGCGGCCACGCGGGCGAAAGTCGCGACAGGGGAACCACCTCCGCCGTCGGGACGGAAAAGCAGGAAGGAACGGCGACGCGCCTCCGGTTCGCGCGCTCCGAAGGCGTTAGCTCTGAGCGGTGAGTTGTATGTAAGCTCAAAAGTGCTTTCGTCGAGGCCCAGTCGTCGAAAACGTTGTGGGATCTTCACGTCAGGCGATGCATATACAGGAATTATGGCTACCACCCGCAAAAGTTGGTTTTCGTCCTTGTCGTCGCACGGTACCACGGCCATGCAGCGAGTGACGAATGTGACAGTGTTGGCCGCGAGCAACATAACAACCACCGAGGCGTCCCCCGCTGGGTTATTTTCAATCCGCGATGCTTTCCTTTCATGTTTCTTTACTCCCAAAAAAGGAAACCGTGGGAGAGGTGGGAGCGAGCGCAGTATCGTCGTACGGCAACATCGTCCCCGCGACAGCTTTGGAAACGGCGGGAGCAGTGACGATGCCGCTCGGCGCGCATCCGATGCAGCATTGCAGGTAAACCTTGGCACCGCCCGATGACAAAGAATAGAGGGTCGGGGAGGAAGAGGAGCATGGTTGAGGTACGGCCGTGAGACCTTGCAACTGACGCTTGAAACAACAGAGAAGACCACCTTACCGAAATTGCAAAAACTGTTGCCCTACTCAAGCGGCATGGAAAGCATTTATTACCACTCCTCTACCTCTTTGCTCCACCCTCTCCCACTCTACTCGTGAAGGCCGCGTCGAACGTTCTGGCTGCGTGCGCCAGCAACAGCACTACCGGCGGCCCAATAGGCAAGCCCAGACGTCGCGTTCGTGCCTTGCCGGACAACGGCCATTTCACCCCAAACAGCGGCAGTAGTAGCGGCGCAAGCCGCAGCAGCGCCAGTAGCACCAGCAGCCGAGGTGGTCGCAGTCGAGGGGGGGGCAGTAACCTTAGTTTCCGCGTTGGAATCGCAAGCGGAGCGTCGCCCACGGTGGGGACACCAGAGTCAGCACCCCGATCGGGCTCGAGCCTTGAGGACTCAACGCAAGACGGGGGGCGGGGGGGGGGCGGGGGGG